ACGGGCTCACAGCCGCTTCGGGGTGCCCTTAGAGTGAGGGGGTGGAAAGGGATGGGCCCACTAGCGGCCAGTACCCGAGCGCACAAGCGTCGCGGGCATCCCGGCCCATGTTCGAGTCTTGGTCGGTTCCTAGTCCATGGGTTTTCCTCGAAGAAAGGCAATGAGCCCTCGGGACCGATCGAACGGATCCGAGAACTATATGGATTGACCGCCAAGAGTCTGGACTCGGTCATCGGTTGACCCATGCCGGACCCCCGCGAACTAGAAACCAGGGCCCCACTCGGACTAGCCCGTTAACAGCTCACCAAGAACCATGTTTCATCCATCAAGGAAAAATATGGCACGGCTCAGCCCCTCAGTTTTATCGAAGACAACACTTGAGGGACGACGATCATGAAGATGAGCCGACCCTCGACCGAACCCCTGCTACGTGTGGGGGCTCGAGAAAAGTTGGACTCACAAGGAGACCGAATGCGCGGTCGTAGTATGATGGCAGACCGATCGGATCCTAGGGACCAGAATCAAGAAAAATCTTTCCGACCTCCCGAATCCTATGGTTACATGCCCCCGAGATGATCGATCGCGACAAAAGGGAACCGCCACCCTACCAGGACACGACGCGGGCTACAAAAACAATGCGAAGGCCCTCAGAGTCCTCCCATCTAGAAAAACCTCCAAATGAGTATTCTACTCCTCCGTAGGCTCGGGGGCTACTGTCGGGTATCGCTATTAGGGATAACCAAAGCAAGGAGGTTAGCGCCCACGCAAACTTCCCCGGATGAAAAAAGACGTATTAAAAGGTCTCGTCCGACCCTAAGGCCACAGGGGTCTCACCCAAGGCAGTGGGCTCCGCCTCGCCTGACCCCTTAGGTGCGGGCTCTGTCTCGTCCGACCCCAAGGATGCGGTTTCCGCCTCGCCCGACCCCACGGGTGCGGGCTCCGTCTCGCCCGACCCCAAGGCCACGGGGGTCTCACCCAAGGCCACGGGCCCCCGTCTCGCCCGACCCCTTAGGTGCGGGCTTCGTCTCGCCCGACCCTAAGGATGTGGATTCCGCCTCTCCCGACCCCTTGGGTGTGGGCTCCGTCTCGTCCGACCCCAAGGACATGGTTTTCGTCTCGTCCGACGGGGACCCGTACTGCCGTCAACCACTCCAGGTCTAAGCATATGTGCCTAGGTCAAAACTCTAACATCAGGGAAGAGACTAGCACGCCTCGATATAACCTGTGGCCATGATGGGCCATACCTGATGATTCACATCAAGAACAGCGTCGGGTGTGCCAGTGCTATTCTGCCTAACCCTCGTACAAACGCTGACAGACGCGTCAGTTCACCATGACGTCTGCCGGGACGAAATGGAACGCCATGACCGGCAGACGACGCCAGCGCATGACGTCAGTGACGAACAGGGCCGCGACGTGGAGCCGTCCCTGTTGACGTCTATAGGGACGATGAGACCCATATGAAGAGGAAGAAGGACCCAACGATCCTGGAAGCCTTCTTCTCTCTAGTTCTTCTCCTTTTCCTTCGTTGTAATCCGCGCTCTCCCTTCGCCTATAAAAGAGAAAGCAGGGCACCCCATGAAAAGGGGGATCCAGATCGACACAAGACCGAACCACGAGATAAAAACGCAAGAACACGACACGAGCACACGACTGAGTAGCAATCGAGCTCTCAGCACCCGTTCGTTCATTTCACCAGAGACTTGGGATCCTTTCTCTCTCTCGCCTGTTTGTAACCACTATTGCAAACCAAGTGCCGGTAACATGAGCAGCAACAAACTGGATGTAGGGACGTTCCGCCCCAACCAGTATAAACCCTTGTGTCCTCTGAGTACACCATCCGAGCCAGACGCGTAAATACAAATTTACTCATCGGTGGTCCAAAAACACCGACAATTTTATTTCTTGCTTTTCTGTTTCTTTCTTTACTCTCTCCTTATCCGGACGCCCCCTCACCTCTTGTCTCGCAAATCTCCGCAGCTGCGTCGCGTCGTCTTCCATGCCCAACCGCGCCCAAATTGAGATTCAGTGACTTTGCTCAGTAAAGTTACAACATAACTTTCTCTCCATTCAGCCCTCTAAATCGGACGCGGATTCAGTCACAACGTAACTTTCGTATCATCCTAGCTCTCCAAGTGTGATCGGAAGGTTGTCCTCCATCTCATCCCAGGGGACCGTATGTCAGTGTGTGCAGCCACAGAATTGCCGGCTTCGTCAAGTTCTCTTTCGCGGAGCCTCGCGGCGACGGCGGCCTCGTCGCCTTGCGCGACGCCACACCACGCCTGCGCCACCGCGGCATCCTACTGGACTCGCTCTTCCAAATCCGCCTTGCGGCCTCCGGCCAAGCCTCCACCTCCCGCACTCGCAGCGCCAAGCCGGACACGGCCGTCGCGCGCGCCAGCGCCTGGTGTTGCCACTCGCGCGTCAGCCCAGCCCCGCGCCGCACTCGGTCCACACCAGCGCGTCCACCTCCGCGCCGTGCCGCCATAGCTCTGACGGCGGCTCGTCCGCCACCGGAACCTCGGTCAGCCGGTCGCTCATCGCGCCACCCTACACCCCGGCCGCGCACACTCGCGGCGCTGACCGAGAGCTTGCCGCGCCATCCTCTATGCTGGCTGCCCTCTGCGAACGCTCGCCAAGCTCGCTGCATCGCTCTCCGCGCAGGCCGCTTGTCGCGCCTACCTCCGCCTCGGGCACGCACGCTCGCAATGCAAGGAGCCAGCTCGCCGCGTCGCTCTCTGTGCGAGCTGCTGGTTGCCGCGCCGCCCTCCGCCTCGGTCACGCATGCACGCTCGTAACGCTGGCAACCAGCTCGCCGCGCCACCATCTGTGCTGGTCGCGCACGCTCGCTTCGTCGCCCTCCGCGCTGGCCATGCGCGCTCACCGCAACCCGAGGCCGGTGCCGTCCTGTACGCCGGAAGCATGCTCGCCACCGCGCTGTCCTTGCCGATGGAGTGCCGCGATGCATAAGTCGAGGAGGAAGTGCCCTGTGACCCTGTCGCTCCATCATCAGCTTTGACAGTTCGTCGCTGGAAGCCTCATCTGAGACGGCGCACAGGACGGTGCGACACATGAGAGAGCGCCGTCGCGCGTGAATGGAGGCGAGCGCGTCCGCTCCTGCCAGCTCTGATGGAGAGAGCGAATGAAGCCGAAGGGAAGAAAAATCAAAGCCAACAAGTGACTGACAGATGGCCGTGAGAGAGCGTTCGTTCCCGTCGTGGGAAGGCCTCAGTCGGGAGTCGGACTCCCGGCTGCCACGGACACAGCTGTGGTAATACGCAGTTTGTGCATAAAAAAAATTCTTGTCTTTTTCGTGTCCCAAAGCACAGGTAAAAAGGTTTCGGCTCACTCACAGGGTTACGGGTCCCTGTGTGAGGATGGGGTATGAGATTTGAGGATTTTCTCGACCTGCGTGGGAGATCTTCTTCCTCGCACAAAAACTACGGGGGCTGTCTAACCACCGCAGGCCGAGTATTTTTTCATGATAGATGGCCCCATGAGTTGAGAGGAAGACCACCCTTTAGATCTGATTTAGAGAGATTGAGATTCAGTGACTTTGCTTAGTAAAATTACATCGCAACTTTCTCTCCATCTCAACCCTCTAAATCAAATCAGATCTAAATCAGAGCTGGCAGAAGCTCCTCCAAAATCAGCTCCAGTTCCGGCTCGTCTGAAGGAGTATATTCTTCAAGGGAGTTGAAGCCATCTTCGTGAACCGTACGACAAAACAACTTCTCAAAGCCATAATACTTATATTTTGAGTCTGTTTAGCCAACAACTATGTGTTTTTTATAGTTTCAACACATAAATTTTTTTACACCATAGAATTAAGATCCAACAACCTCCATTCTCCTTCTACCTACAACCTTCTTCTACCTCCAGACAATCACAAATCACAAGATCACAGATCCACAGATCTACATATCACAAGAAATAATTTTTTTCTATGCATGAATAAGAGGACAAATCACATCCAGATCTGATTGTGCCCCCAGCATGGAGGTGAGCTGCAATGGCTTGACGTAGACACGCACGGACGGACACGAAGCACTTGAGGTGGGCATGCATCCTTCCTTCTCAACACGCGACTTCAAGACGCTACTGGCTCGTGCGCCCATGTGACGAAGAGGCCACCATGCAGCCGGGCACGTAGCTGTACGTGACTGCTTCTTGAGACAACATCGGAAGCGCGACCACATGTGTTTTTTTACCACAGGTGTTAGCATAAAGAAAATCCATGTGTTTTTTTAAACACATGTGTGTTGTATAGTATTTTGGTATATTTTAATTTTTTTTTTGTCTTTTCTTTTCTTTATTCTTTGTTCTTTTATTTTCTCTCTTCCTAGCTTATCCTGTCGCTCACGGTATGCAACCGCACATCCGCACGCGAGTACGGGCTCGTCTTCAACCTCTGGAAGTCGCATGCTCATCCCGCCGCCGCCCGCACCTGGGAGCGCGCCCGACCACGGGCCACTGCCGTCGCGCCTCCCTCCCCCACGCTAGCTCCTCCTCCGCGCCGCCCTCCCCCACGCTAGCAGCTCCGCCTCCCCGCCGCGCGTCCCTTCCTCCTCCCTGGCCGCGTGTCCCTTCCTCCTCGCCCAGAGCTCCGCCGCCCGGTGGCCCCGCGCTCGCCGCGCCCGGCGGCCCCGTGCGCCCCGGCTACCCCACGCGCTCGCACGGCGGCGGCCGTCGGCGTGGGGGCAAATCCGCCATCGTCCTGCGTTGGGCCCACAGCAGCTCACGGGAGCCGGGCGAAGCTACATTTTTCGGCTTCAGCTCCGTCCCCCATCTCCGCTCTCTCTCAGCGCGATTTACGGGACTTCTCCCGTAGAGCTGCTGTCGGCAGACCCGTTTGGTTGCTGGAGTCGTAAAACAGCCCCCGGAGCTGTTCCGGGACCAAACGGCCCCTCGGATAGTCAGATTTGCCGCTCTGTCAGTCTCGGCTGACCCAGACACACGCGAGAGGGAGAGGGAGAGGGAGGAGGGCGAGCGGCACCGGCATGGCGGCGGCCGTCCTAGCGCCCAAGCCGCCTCCTTCGCTGCCTACCAGGGCCTTTGCATCCTCCTCCCCCTCGCCCTCGCGGTTCGTCCCTGCCTGCATCTACCCGTGGCATCCCCTGAGAAGATTGCTTATCCGCCCCATTCCGTGCGTCTCATCGCCGTCCTCCTCCGTCTTGATGCTGGACCCGGACCCGGACCTCGAGCCTGAGCCTGCCCACGATAGAGACGGAGATGGAGCCCAAGACGAGGCGCCGGAGTCCAGGCCCCGCCGCATCGCCCTCTTCGTCGAGCCCTCGCCCTTCGCCTACGTCTCCGGCTACAAGAACCGCTTCCAGAACTTCATCAAGTACCTCCGGGAGATGGGCGACGAGGTGATTGTGGTCACTACGCATGAGGGCGTGCCTCAGGAATTCCACGGAGCCAAGCTAATTGGGTCATGGAGGTGTGCTTGCTAGCTTTCCCCTTCTAATTTTTACTATTGCTCTCTCTATCGTCTCTGCTGCTGAATGCTGATACCACCAACCTGTTTGATTTGATCCCAGCTTCCCTTGCCCCTGGTATCAGAAGGTTCCGCTCTCGCTAGCCCTCAGTCCTCGAATCATCGGAGAAGTTGCTAGATTCAAGCCTGACATTATTCACGCCTCTTCCCCTGGGATAATGGTCATTTCCACTACACTTGCTCACTACGCTGTATTATCCCTTCTTCATATTTCTGCTAACTGTTTCTTTCCTTCTTGGCAGGTATTTGGCGCGCTTATCATAGCAAAGTTGCTCTGCGTCCCTCTGGTAATGTCATACCACACGCACGTTCCAATGTGAGTTTCTCCTTCCAAATATATCTCAATTGTCAAAGAACTGAATCAGATTTATTCACCGCTCTCCACTGCCAGTTACTTGGCATACTGCTCCTCTCATATACTGCTTTTCACCAGCATACTCATCGAACCACCAGTTTGAAACGTGAAACGAAAAACAAGGCCTGTGAGTATTTCTAGTATTTCATAACCCAGACAATTTGAGTGTGCAGCAAGAGAATGGCAACTGGAACAAAACAGAGTCATCTTCTCTTTAGCTTGGCTAAAAGCCTAAAACCACATCATCCTAATTGGAGGCTCCTTAAAAATCTTTGTTCGGACTTGTTGGCATTCTGTAGAGGACTCCTATGTGAATCATATCCTAGCATCATAGTTTTTACCTGCACGGCTGCATGGAGAACTGAACCTTTTGATTATTGCAGTTATATACCCAGATATACTTTCAGCTGGCTTGTCAAGCCCATGTGGCTAATTATAAGTAAGTTTTCAATCATTTATCACAGGAATGCATTTCTGTTTGCATGATTAAGTGACCGATATGTTTCTCACTTGATATAGAATTCTTGCACCGAGCTGCGGACCTCACACTGGTACCATCCGTTGCGATCGGCAGGGATCTTCAAGCTGCCCGTGTTACAGCAGGTTTACTTAACTAATCTATCTGTAGTTTCTTGTTCTTGTTAATTGTACCATCTCTCAAACGGTGCATGTTTCCAGCCAATAAAATACGCCTTTGGAACAAGGGTGTTGATTCAGAAAGCTTCCATCCTCGTTTTCGCAATATGGAAATGCGTTCAAGGCTAACGTATGTATATTCTTCTACCCATCATGCAGTTTTGTATTTGTCCATTTCAATGTCTGAGTAGTTATTGCGATGAGCAAATATTTTCTTAGATACACATGCCTAACTGTGGTGCTAATGTGTTCTGGTTTTCGTTGGAGCAGGAATGGCGAACCAGAAAAGCCACTTATATTTTATGTTGGGCGCTTAGGAGTTGAGAAAAGCTTGGATTTTTTTAAGAGGTGAGCCCTTTATGTGCCTGGTATTTTGAATGCTATGGACTATGGTATGTACAAGGTTGATGCTGGATCGTAGGTTTGTTATTTTGCAGAGTCATGGACCGACTTCCAGGAGCAAGGATCGCATTTATTGGAGATGGCCCATTCAGGTCAGCATTGTTATTTCCTGGCCCTTATGCTTTAGTATTGAACCAAGAAGTGATTTAGTTTTCTTGTGGATTAGTGGGGGGAGATTTGAAAAAGGGGGGAATGTGATTCTGTCTTTCTGTGCAGGGCTGAGCTTGAGCAGATGTTCTCAGGTATGCCGGCGGTGTTCACGGGCATGTTGCAAGGGGAAGAGCTATCACAGGCCTATGCTAGCGGGGATGTGTTTGTGATGCCTTCCGAGTCAGAGACGCTGGGGTTTGTGGTGCTGGAGGCCATGTCATCGGGAGTTCCGGTAGTGGGGGCTCGCGCTGGAGGAATACCTGATATCATACCTGAGGATCAGGAGGGGAAGACGAGCTTTCTGTACACACCAGGGGATGTGGATGACTGTGTTGGCAAGATCGAGCAGCTCCTGTCGAGCGAGGACCTGAGGGAGGCCATGGGGAGGGCTGCCAGGAAGGAGATGGAGAAGTTTGACTGGCGAGCAGCGACGAGGAAGATCCGGAACGAGCAGTACAGTGCTGCGATCTGGTTCTGGCGCAAGAAGAGGGCGCAGCTGCTGCGACCCCTCCAGTGGGTGCTGCGGCTGCTGAGGCCAACAACGCCTGGGGCTGCCAATGCTGATGCTGTAGCGAAGCAATCATGAATCATAGGAGGAGGCTATTATGGTTGATGGTCCCTTTTTCCCCCCTTTCCTTGTATAAAATGGCCGATGGGCGAAGGACGCTATGGCAGATGATTGGATATGTTTCAGGATTAGAGGGGAGGAAGCTCAAGCTTCGGCATTCCGATTCACTGAAGAATATAATGAACAGTTTAGGTTGTTAGATTGTAAATCGTCCGTGTCTATGTAATGCTTCTTCTTGGCTTGCTACACTATATAGTACTAGTATCAGGGCGCGCCGTGAAGGCAGTATCTGGGAGCCACTACATATCTTCCGGATGATTTTTTCAGTCCATTAATCAGATTTATATCCAATCATTACATGATGCCTAGTTTCCTGAAAGCAGAGCAAAATCTGGTAGATAAAGGAAGGCAATTACACCCAGATTTTACCGAAAAATAAAACAATAAAGAGTGAATGAAATTACAACAATCGACAACCAGATCTAATCAAATATGTGACCTCCTCACGTGTAGCAACAATTCCACCATCAGCTTTACATGTGCAGCAGAGAGAAAATCTTGCAAAAAATAAGTAAATACTCATTTGACTAAAAGAGATACAAATGAAATGAAAGATAGAATAATCAACATTAATGGAAAATACATTGTTATGGTCACGCTGATGTTCAAGTTCACGTGATGAGCTCCATCTAAATTTGATATTAAAAAAATCATACAGTTACAATTTGCAAAAGCTACCATACTGACAAAACCGAGATGCCAATTACTAAAACTATTTACCTATGTACACAAAGAATTAGAGATCAAAAGTACTGAAAAACTAACATGCCGAGATAGCTCCTTCCATTTTTTCTGAACCTACTCACCTGAATACTTGTTCTAGCTGCTAATCAAGAAAACCGGTTTTGATGCAATCACGATGCATGCAGAGAATAGTGAAACCGAGTATAGGCAATCTAATATTAATAAAGCAGAATTTGTGCTGACACAAAAATATTGAAACACTGACACTCAAAAAACATAATAGAGTATTCACTATTGCATGAAAGTGACCTTCACAATTTTAAGCATCCTGATGCACCATTCCAATCGCATCACAAAGATTCGACTATTTTACTTCTATTTAGTTCTTGAACAGAGTTTTTGAAAGTTTGAACCAAACTGTAAGTACTGAACACAAAAAAAAAAATCGGTAGGCGAGGTTCAAACCTCTTAGTCTGCAGTTAGTCACGGCAAAAGGAAAAAGAAACCAGTTGCAACCAAATCAAAGGATTTGACTAATATTGTTTGTTCTTCTTACCTAAAAGACGGAAGCACTAACATGGCTATGAAACCGTACACCCCAACGCAAAAAATAAGAATGAACTCAAAACTTATTAACTCAAAAACTAATAGCAGCATTTATCTTGCCTCGAACTAATAGGAACATTAATCTGTAGCATGAAAGGGATATCAAATGTTTCTCTATAGAGTCAATCTTACAAAAAAGAATCGAGTGTACAACTCTAAGTAGGAATCAACTCTAAGTCGTCGTTATCCTCGTGACTGTTTTTTTTTGTTGTTTTGGCTCCCCTCATGACCTGTTTTTTTATTGTTTTGGTCCCTACTCATGTGTGTGTACAAATATCTGTCTTAGTAGTTAAGATGAGAAGCAACTTCTCTGGGAAGCCGCTTCAACAAATCTTTTTGAACCTAGCCTAAAAATATTAGACTTTGCCTTAGGCGCAAAGACAAAATCGTGAAGACTCATTTGGATGGGGTACATAAAAATGTTAGGATGGATGTTTCTTTTGTTAAAAAGGAAAAGCTATTTTTCTTATAGCGCAAAGAAACCTTCCTTATTCGTAACGTCCCTGTTGATATAATAAGATTAAGGCTATGAAAGCCAACAATGACAGTATGATATACATACGAAAATGTTTGGGCTATGTCTACATGAATTGTGCTACTTGAGCAGAGACCAAAATTGGAAGCCTCATCATTTTAATATAGCATTCCACTATGGTTAGTTTATAAAAAAAGAGCATCATCAAGAAGCTAAATCATTTTGTGAAACACAGTTGGTGGTTGACCTGAAGAATTCAAAGGAGAATACGTAGCATATTTTTTTTAGTGTGATAGGTTGCATGGAAGTCTCTAAATAACCAATTTCAGATTTGAGCGACGATCTAAAATAAAGGGAACTAACTAAAAAAATAGATGTGAAGCATGTATTTTACCTTCAGCAGCTTACATCTTGAGGTCGAGTGATCCAAGCGATCCAGGCAATGATGATTCACTTCTTTAGCATTTGAATAGAATTAGAGTTTTCGTAGTCTTTGACAGGGAAAATGAAAGCACGTTCTCAAGTGATATATTGTGCACTCACAGATTGCATAAATCATTAGTTTGTGATAGAGCGCAGTCTAAGCATTGGGGTAATAATCATATTAGACTCCAACAGTGATAATATTTTTTATCATAACCTGCTGATGCAATGCAACTTATACGCAACAATCTTATGCGATGACCATAAAGGAAATTACCTATCAGTTGGCAAAATTGTCTGAACAGAGATCCTTTCCAAGCATTACATATAGCTTCTTCTGAGTTTCTGTACATAATAGAAACAAATATGCAGAGGATAATAATCACTATCGAGTATAGTAACTTTTAGTTGGTCAAAGTCTTCGTATGGATTAATTGCTGAAATTACATTCTCACTAATACCAACATTTAAGAATAAGAAAAATAACAGAGAACTTGCAAATGTCTCTTAACAATCAGATGCCACCAATAATGAAAATTAACTATTGACCAGAGCTAATTTGGAATAACACTAAAATTGTATGTTTGGAACTATTTATTGGCCCTGGGTCCATTTTTATGTGCTACATTGTTGTATTTGTAAGCTTTCTTTCTACAAATACTGAAACAAATAGGCAAAAAGTTCATCAAAACCCATATATCTCTTCTCTAGGGATACTCTTCACCAACCTCAAGTAATCAAAACGAAATTTGAGTAAACAACTTGCAGAAAACACTGCACTTCTTTGACTTTTGAACCTTTTCAAACACCAAACACCAAAAACAATCAGAAGGGGAAGGTACCAATGTTAATTGGCAGATCCTTCTTTTAACCTGTGTTTTGTCCAATGCAGGACCAAGATTTGTCCCCCGACGGGGTCAAAGCCTATTGCTCTTATGAATTCATCAATTACTCTCTGAGCAGTTTTGCATCCACTTTTAATCAAGCTGGTTCTAACCTGAAAGGAATGATGGCAGGTCCATTGCAATTAATAGATAGCTGACCAAGTTGACATGTGCACAACCAAAGGAAATTGAGAAGTCTATAAACATGAGCACAAGAAAAAATAAAGAACAATAATAATTGCAATAGGAAAGCATAACCTGTCTATGTAGTTTTTTTTGTTATGCAATGAGCATACAGAATGTTACCTGTTGACTATTTCTATTGTCCAAGAATAACGACAACACGCTATGGGCTGAGAGATGGATCAATATAGGACTGAATTATAAATGTTTAATTGCATAATACAGTATGAAACTAAAATGGTTCATGGATCTAGTAATATCATGAATCAAGACCTAGGAAAAAAAAGTATGGGTCCTTTACTCATCCCCTCGACAAAGATAGCAATACAATGAAGAAAAGCGCTACCGACGCATATAGAAGAATCTTTAGAATAATAGACTATCCTTGGCATACACAAGGTCCTCAGAATATGTTCAATCAGCTACACAAGCATATGTCGCTTACATTTATGGTTATGGAGATCATGGTGGTCTCCTCTACTTCAGCCTTTTTGGGATTAGTTCATGACAATGGAGATCATGGTGGTCGCCTCTTCTTCAGCCTTTTTGGGATCAGTTCATGGCAACCTTCATTAGGACTCCCTTGGATAAGCGCACAAAAGATAGAAGAAGCCTAGGAAAAGTATACACAGTAAATCTGAAGTGGGATCCAAAGAGATATTGATCAATGACAAACCATTTGTTTCGAGGCTCCAATATGTGCTTGCTCCTAATGTTTGATTTGTCGATTGTTAATATCTATGGTATTTTTTTTTGTGACCAAGAAGCTAAAGAGGAGAACGTTATTTACTAACATTACGAGAATAGAGCAATAAAGTATACTTGAAGCGTTGATATTAATATACAAACACCAAGTCCACGACGAAGGTTCTAAATAGGTGACTTTTTGCTATGTACAGAGAAACTCGAGATGGCAAGGCAATGGCGTGTGTCTTTGAGTTGCAAAAGAGAACCCGAGATAGCAAGGCAACGGCGGTGTGTCTTTGAGTTGCAAAATGTAACCTTACGCGTCTGCAAAAAAATGAAGCGCCATGCCATCTTGTTCTGTGGGCACCACCCTCCTGCAGAACATAATCAATCAAGAAAAAAAAAAAAAAAGGAAAGAATTTGTATCGCTTAATCGTGGCCATCCTTTTTGTCCAAGAAAGCATAGTTTTAGCATAACTACAAAGTAAGGTTACCTATGGATATCGAACTAAGAATCAAACTGGTAGACAGGTTTTGGAATTAGAAATTAGCAATGTGAGGTAACTGCTGACTTCCTATGACAAAACAGGAGCATGCAAAGCACCAGAGGCTGAAATTTGTTTAAGGAATTTTCGCTGAATAATTCCAGCAATGGATATAATTCGGAATTAGATGGTCGCCGAGGTATCGACTGTCTCTCTGACATTTACTGTTAATTAATAGAAAACAGATTACTCTTTAGAAGAATGTAAGCATGCATAAATTTGCTCTAGCCCATAGTAGAATATGAAGTTGGCAAAATAGAACCACATATTCTCAAAAGAGCGTAGCATATGCAATAGTAATCTACACATCATACAAAGAATTTGTGGATCACTCAAAAATATTAGGTTCAACACACCAACAGGATGAACCAATATTCAGACACCACCAATACAGTAGGTTTGGCCAATTTCGTTGGATCAAACTGAAAGCTATAGTAAATCACTGTAAAGACAGATATGCAGAAGTAATTC